GGGGACCCAGGAGGGGGCAGTCAGGGGACAAGGAACGGGGGGAGGGTTGGGGGTTCTGGGGGGTGGGAAGTGGGAGGGGCAGGGGCGGGGCTAGGGCGGGGCTCCTCCTGTCCTCTTTTTTGCTTGTTGAAATATGGTAACCCTAATTCAGTAGCGAGTGTACAATATCATATGCCATTATTTGGTATAGAGCGCTGCAATGGTAGTTCTTAAAGAGCTCTTGTCACCTGTATTTCAGAAGCTGCTTTCTCCTCACCAGTGAGAGTCCTCTATTATCAGGAAAACAGAAGCTGTATAATGGCAAAGGTTGAAGAAGTTAAATCAGAAAAGGTTTTAGAAATGACCTTTCTGTAGTATGTGACTCAGAGAGCCCTGTGTTTTTCCTTCCTTCCTTCCTTCCTAAATTAAAGAAATACAGGGCAGGCTGCTTGCCAAATAAAGGGCTAAATCAGCAAGACATTCCATCATCAACAGTTTATAATGAAATAAATTATCAGAATCCTGAAGGGAGCATAGGCTTTGTAGAAAAATCTCCCAAAAAAGAGAATATTGTTAGAACGTCACATTCCAACAAGTAAGTAGGAATCACTGACAAGCCAAATGTTCATATACTAAATGCAAATGCACACAGCACTCTTGAGTAATATTACGTCATTAGACAACTCTGATAATTACTTTTACACACTTGCATTTTGTTTTTGCTTCTTTTTATTCATTTTGTTTGAATCCAGAAATTGGAATTTGCCTGGTTAATTTCAATTTTGTTGTTTCTCAGACCTGTACTTGCATTAACAACTTCTTCTGCTTTTTGTTATTTTCACTGGGTTTTTGACTTACCTTTTCTCTGTATAGCCAGATTGGAGCTTGTGAGCAGGATGCTAATCTACAGAGCTGTAACCACTGGCTGAACTGATGTTTTGCACTGGACAATGTACAGAAATTAGAACATTCAGAAACATCATAAATTACCTTTTTGCTAAATTCACCCTAAATGCCTAGTTCTTAACACATTTTCTGATTTGTGTCCATTTTCCAAAATATTCAAACCATAGTGGCTGACTTGTGTTTGCAGGTGTGTACAAACACACACACACACAAATGTGGGTACAAGTATTCAACTGAACACAAAAATGTGGAGTTTGCATGTGCAAGTACTGCCACATGCACTTCTTCGTTGTATACACTGGCATTTGCACATGCAAAATCATTATTTGTGTGTTAAGTTGGAATTGCTTATTCAAATGGATAATTTCACCTGCATGTGAATGTACGTGTTCCTATGTACCTTATGCAGGCACAAGTCAGCTTCACTGTTTGAATATTTGGCCCTCAGTTATTAATTCTTAGGTAGTTAGTGCACATTCACTAAGTGCTATTTGATGATTTAAAAGCATACTTAATCCTTACCATTCCATTTTATATTTGTGTAAGAGGCTTCCAGGTAACAAAAGACATCACACAGCTTCCATTGCTAAAAAGCCAACCCTATGCTTCTCTCCAGCTTGCCTGGTAGAAGCTACTACTGCTATCTACACCCTATAGGGCCCGAGTTTCCGTTTAGTCACAGCAGCATGACTATCTTACACAGACACTGTTCAGCCAAGTTCTGAGGGTCTGACCCTCGCTGACTGGGCCATTAAAAGTCCAGTTGGTGGCGCAGCCAGGCTAAGGCAGGCTCCCTGCCTGTCCTGGCTCTGTGCAGCTCCTGGAAGCGACCGGCATTTCCCTCCAGTTCCTAGGCAGAGGTGCGGCCATAGGGGCTCCACATGCTGCTCCCACCCCAAGCACCAGTGCTGCAGTGCCCATTGTCCAGGAATGGGGGAAGCGCAAAGAACCGCCTGGCCGCACCTCCGCCTAGGAGCCGGAGAGAAATGCCGGTCACTTCTGGAAGCTGCCTGAGGTAAGCACCACCCGGAGCTCGCACCCCAGAACCCTCTCCCACACCCAAACTCCTGTATGTTTGGAAAGTGCTTAGCACACTGTCAGCATTACCACAGTCTACATAGTACTACAATATTAATTATTTAAATCTTTTTTGACACAATTGCTGCAAAACAGGTTGCTAGGAGTATTGCTGTATTCATGAGAGAGAAAAATCAGTTCTCAGTTTTACCTCAAGCTTTCCAAGTCAAATGATGGGACTCTAAATATTAAAGTCATCACCTACTAGGCAAGCTCTTCAGTTTCCCCATCAGTTACTGACTCATCTCCCTGCAAAGCCAAATATATTGCACAGGCATCATAGATTATATAGGGTCACCGGCTGGATTATTTTCTGGAGGTGGGAACTCTTAGCTCATATCATAGAGAAAGTTGCTGAGCTCATGAAACCTTAGATATAAAATGAGCTCCTGCTCATATCAGATTGTTGCCTATTTACAGTAACTGGATCTAGTCCAAATCCCTTAGCTACTATGCTGCTGCAATGCTATGCTAGACCAAATCTGCCTAGAAAGGACACTGCATTCTACTCCAACCCCCCCACTCACAAACACTCACTGCTGACAAGGGATTCAGGTCACCGTTTGTTAGCACGCCTGTTTTTTTTCCTCTCTCTTTTCCTTTCCCTCTTGTTCTCTATGCTTCCTAAAAAAATCTGTCACACTTTAAAGCGCTGCTGTTTATTTTTAACTCCACCCTCCTCATCTCTTTCCCCTCAACTAGTTTTGTGGTGACTGTTTCCCTTCAAGTTTGCATTTCCCCCTCACTCCAGCTTCTGTCTACTTTTCTCTGAGCTCATTTAATATGGTTTTCCATCCACAACATCCCCTCCCCCACATATGGGTTATTTTCTTCCCTTTACCTTATTTTGCTTCCATTCCCTGATAACCTTCTTCCAGCTTTCCCCCTTCCCCCTCCCCCCCCCCCCCCCCAAACCTGGCCTGGGCTGCTTCCTTTTATCTGAGTTCTTCACTTGGAGCATGTGCAGCAGGGAAGAGGGGGGTGTGGCCTCCTGGGCCTACAATGATTGGTCTGCCTCTGGCAGCACAGTGCAGGGCTGGTACACCCCGTCACACACCCTCCCCCTCAAGTCTGGACCGGATGGTGGTCCCCCTCACTCTCTTCCCCCATTACCTGGGAAAAGAAGCCCACATTTGCATGGGTTCGGCCCGGGCGGTGAAGTACCTCAACATTGTAGGGTTGGAGGGCAAGGTATTATCTCATAATCCTGGCATTAGTGTCTTTCATAAAATGGAACCATCGGAGGGGTGCGTGATCTGTGATGAGCTGGAAGTGGTTCCCAAGCAGGTAGTATCGTAGTGCTTTTGGGACCAATCTTATTTAATCGTTTTATTACTTGGCACAAAAAGTGGGAATGTCCTAATAAAGTTTGCGGATGACACAAAGCTGGGAGGTATTGCCAATACAGAGAAGGACCCGGATATCATACAAGAAGATCTGGATGACCTTGTAAACTGGAGTAATAGTAATAGGATGAACTTTAATAGTGAAAAGTGCAAGGTCATGCATTTAGGGATTAATAACAAGAATTATTATTATAAGCTGGGGACGCATCAGTTGGAAGTAACAGAGGAGGAAGAGGACCTCGGAGTATTGGTTGATCACAGGATGACTATGAGCCGCCAATGTGATATGGCCGTGAAAAAAGCTAATGTGGTCTTGGGATGCATCAGGCGAGGTATTTCCAGTAGAGATAAGGAGGTGTTAGTACCGTTATACAAGGCACTGGTGAGACCTCATCTGGAATACTGTGTGCAGTTCTGGTCTCCCATGTTTAAGAAGGATGAATTCAAACTGGAACAGGTACAGAGAAGGGCTACTAGGATGATCCGAGGAATGGAAAACCTGTCTTATTAAAGGAGACTCAAAGAGTTTGGCTTGTTTAGCCTAACCAAAAGAAGGCTGAAGGGAGATATGATTCTACTCTACAAATATATCAGAGGAATAAATACCAAGGAGGGAGAGGAATTATTTAAGCTCAGTACCAATGTGGACATAAGAACAAATGGATATAAACTGGCCATCAGGAAGTTTAGACTTGAAATTAGACGAAGGTTTCTAACCATCAGAGGAGTGAAGTTCTGGAACAGCCTTCCAAGGGGAGTAGTGGGGGCAAAAGACATATCTGGCTTCAAGACTAAGCTTGATAAGTTTATGGGGGGATGGTATAATGGGATAGCCTAATTTTGGCAATTAATTGGTCTTTGACTATTAGCTGTAAATATGCCCAATGGCTTGTGATGGTATGTTGGATGGGGTGGGATCTGAGTTACTACAGAGAATTCTTTCCTGGGTGTCTGGCTTGTGAGTCTTGCCCACATGCTCAGGGTTTAGCTGATCGCCATATTTGGGGTCGGGAAGGAATTTTCCTCCAGGGCAGATTGGCAGAGGCCCGGGGGGGGTTTTCGCCTGCCTCTGCATTGTGGGGCACGGGTCACTTGCTGGAAGATTCTCTGCATCTTAAAGTCTTTAAACCATGATTTGAGGACTTCAATGGCTCAGACACAGGTTTGATACAGGAGTGGGTGGGTGAGATTCTGTGGCCTGCATTGTGCAGGACGTCAGACTAGACGATCATAATGGTCCCTTCTGACCTTAAAGTCTATGATTCTATGATTCACAGCCAGTGCCTCTTTCTCAATTGTTGAGTACCTAGTCTCGCGAAGGAATAACTTCTTACTCAGGTAAAGCACCGGGTGTTCCTCTCCATCATGATCTGGTGATAGGACAGTTCCCAGGCCTACCTCTGAAGCATCGGTCTGGAGTATAAACCTTTTTGCAAAATCTGTGTGAAAAAGGACTGGCTCCTGACTTAACCCACCTTCAAGGCCTGGAAAGCGTACTCGCAGTCCCGGGACCACTGGACCCTCTTGGATTGGGAATTTTTCGTCAGGTCTGTTAGGGGTGCAGCTAATGTGGCAAACTCCAGAACAAAGCATCTGTAGTAGCCGGCCAGGCCTAGAAACTGCCTCACTTGCGGTCGTGGGGGTTGGACAGTCCTTCAGGGCTTGGACCTTATCCATGAGTGGGCACAGCTGCTCCCACCCCACTATGTACCCCAGATATGTTACCTCCTTTTGCCCTACGTGACACTTGGAGGGCTTGGCCATCAATCCGGCTTCTCCAAGGGCTTGCAGCACAGTGGTGAGGTGTCTAAGATGGTCCTCCCAGTTGGTACTGTATATCACTATATCATCAATATAGGTGGCCGCGTATTGCTCGTGTGGCCGCAGTAACTGATCCATAACCCTCTGAAAGGTCGCAGTGGCCCCATGTAGCCCAAATGGCATGGTTGTAAATTTGAAGAGGCCAAATGATGTGGTGAAGACTGTCTTCTCCCGGGATGCCGGAGTCAGGGGAATTTGCCAGTATCCTTTTGTGAGATCGAGTGTAGATATAAACTTGGCATTCCCCAACCGTTCCATAACTCATCTACCCACCTGCATCAAGCCTGGAAATTACATTTACTTTCCGAAAATCTATGCAGAACCTCGTGGACCCATCTGGCTTGGGAACAAGGATGATAGGACGCCTCCACTCACTACGGGATTTCTCCATGACCCCCAAAGCTGGTATCGCCTCAAGTTCCTCCTTTTCGATCCCCCACATCTTCCGGGGCAACAGTCGGTGATGATCCCGCACCTTCTGTCCTGGGTTGGTGGCTATGTGATGATACACCATCTTTGTCTGTTCGGGACGGGGCGATAGAACGGTTGAGAAAGACTGGGTCAGTTTTTGTTGTTGCTGTTGTTCTTCAGTGAGCTCCTGCAATCGTTGTTGCATTGGGGGGCTCAAAATTCAGGGTCAGTTGGGTAAGTAGCAATTAGCATGCCTTTCTGGGCTTTCCATGCCTCTAGGATTTTGACATGGTACACCTGGGTCTCACGATGCTGTCCAGGCAACCAGACCTCATAATCTACTGGTCCCACCCTTCGGACTATTTCAAACAGTCCTTACCATTTGGCTAACAGTTTGGACTCAGATGATGAGAGTAGAAACAAGTCACGATCACCAGGTTCGAAGGTCCATAGATGGGTGCCTTGGTTGTACCTCTGCTCCTGCGTCTGCTGTGCTTTCATTAGGTTCTCGCGGGCAAATCCCCCGAGCCTCTTAAGGTGCTCTCACAATTGTAATATATATGGAACGGACCCGGTAACCTGGGACTCTTTTTCCTCCCAGATCTCACAAAGGAGGTCCAGGATCCCTCTGGGTTGCTTTCATACAACAGTTCAAATGGGGAGAAACCCATGGATGCTTGTGGTACCTCCCATATAGCGAACAGCCCAGGCAGGTAACAGTTTATCCCAATGCCGTGGATCATCCTCTACAAATTTATGGAGCATTGATTTCAAGGTCCTGTTAAATCTCTCAACTAAGCCATCGGTCTGGGGATGGTAGACGGAAATCTTCAGGGCCCCGAGTTTAGTAGCTTGCATGGCTCTGCTATTAGGCAGGATGAAAAGTTGGCGCCCTGGTCTGTCAGAATCTCTTTTGATATCCCAACTCGGGCAAACATTTCTAAGAGTTTCTTTGCTATGGCAGCGGCCTTTGTTGAACACAAGGGGACAGCCTCGGGGTATCGGGTTGAATAGTCTACCACCATCAATAAGTAGCAGAACCCAGAACTACTCTTCTTTAAGGACCTGATTAGGGCCATACCTATCCTCTCAAATGGCACTCCTACCACTGGGAGGGGGATCAAGGGCGCCTTGGGTATACCTTTGGGACTGGCGCGTTGACACTCCAGGCAGGAAGCATAAAAGTCACTTACTTCCTTATGGATTCCGGGCCAGAAAAGCCTAAGGGCCACCTGGCGTAGGGTCTTCTCTCACCCCAGGTGTCCGTCCCAGGGCACCAAGTGTGCCAGCTGTAGCAAGTCCCGCTGG